TCTCCATTATACGTGACCCGCCACGCTTTCTATAACGCATAATGAGAATCCGCGTTTCCTGATGTTAATTGACCGCCACGGCAGCGAGTCCTCCAGCCAGCCTTGCTCGTACAAAATTCTAATTTTGAGCAAGACGGAAAGCAAGCGGCGCGATTAATTAATTACATAGCGATCCCACGTGGAGGAAGTCACGGAATGTCGATCCGTTGCTGATAAAATTCCCCAATAAATTAGCGAGAACAAATGCCCGCTTCACGTGATGCTATCGGCGCACGCAACGGCCGCGGGTCCGTCTCCACGCAAAAACGTTTTCGTCCCGGGCCGGAAAACACCGGGAATTTCCGTCGGATATTCCTCGAGTTCCCGAACGGGAATGAAAGACGGAAGCGGAAGTCTCCGATTTAAATAAGCCTGCAGTTTGCTTTCATCTCGGAGCACTGGGTCATCTGCATCTCGTAGCAACGAACATACACGCCCACGCCCACCCACCTCTTTGCGTTTCCGCAACCGTTTATCTATCCCTTCGTCTTCCCGACCTTCATTTCAAATGTCGCCACGTGAGTCCTACGTGATACGAAGACATTTTTGCTCAGAAACTTCTCGAGTGCACTACGGAACTAAATTTCCCGAGATAAAGATTGAAATGCTCAGATTCCCTATGAATGTAGGAAGATTTATGGTCGTTGGCGTCCATATTGGATCATGGAAGCGGAAGTGAGATAACGCGTAAAATACAGTATGAAAGGTGAGAATTGTCGAGGGGAAAGGAACTATATTTTACAGCCAGAAATTTAACAGCAAGTTCGTGCGACCGTGAAAAATATAAAGCGGAGAAAGAAAGGGAATTCCATATACAGGGGAACGCGTTAGCCGGCTTTGGAGGTTCGGTGAAAGTTGTTCTGGAAACGGTAGCCAGATCGAGCGGGCCGCCATCCTCCGGAGATATTGGCAACTACTTGTCCGCCGGAATTCCAGCGGACGGGTTCCACGGGACAAGTTTACCGGCAGGTTCGTGTCCAGGCTGAGTCTTGTCCTAAGCTACAGGAACATAAATGTCGCGGAACCTGTTGCGCCTCGCTATTTGCACACCGTCGCTGTTTGACGCTTGGCCGAAGTTAGGGATGCACTCCTTTTGCTGAGAACTTTCGACTTGCCAGAACCCGGGACGCCCTCGACTCTGGCAACAGCTACTCAAATTCTTACCGAGCAGTTCCTAAATTATACACCGGAGATTAGTTCTCCGTGAACTCGGAATTAGAATCGCTCACTTTCGCGAAATGTGAAAGAAAGTGGCCGCGTGTAATCGGTAACTTTCCACTTTTTAAATAAACCTAAACCGCATTAAACTTTAATAATCCTCACGTAACACCGTTAACTCGCGACTAAAGTCCGATGGAATTCGGAAAAAGTTCTCACGCGCACGCGACTTTACGCGCTCCGTCTGTTTTGTTATGGTTTTGTAAGTGGTTCTGCTGAACGTTAGTTAGACATGATACGCTTGTTCCACCTAACATAAAGCTTCCTGTAACGATATTTTCATTTTATGTCTTTATATATTGACTAAATATTTCATGTATTGCGTGTGTAGTATGAAGTGCAGTATGTTGAATAAAAGTTACATAAAAGACTTTGCATGAAGAGTTCTACACAGTCTTATATTTCGTTTTCAATATTTATTTTGAACTTCTTTCTTCTTCTTAGTAACACGTTTATTACAATGATTGACAAATTTTCCACTTTTCTGAAAGACCGGCGTCGAGTCTGTAAAACAGTCATTATTTTGGAAGATTTGCGAAAGTCTCCTAACAATTCTCACCGTATTTTACTTTAGCCTTTCTCCTCGCAGCTACCGTAAAACTTCACGAAAGCAATAACGACTTTTCAAGTAACGTCGAAGTAAAATTCAATTTCCCGGCGTTGTATTGTTCAGCGGTGACCAACGATGGAAAGGGGGATGATTTGCAACTTCTAGTCTGCGCTCCTGTTAACCGTTGCAGATCACCCGTCCGCGATGCATCAATTATCTGTGCCTTTTTTCTCGCGTAACGAATTTAAATTGACTCGCCGCTCTCGTCCCGCGTAATTCCGCTCGTTAAATATTTAATGAAAAACAGCCTCGCCTCTGTAAATAATGCTGTTTCTGTGAGATGAAAATCCCACGGCAATTTCGTATCAGTTAACGGTGAAGATTTACAAAGCGGGACCCAGTTTTGGGAGTTTACGAGAGTTTCGAAGTAATGTGGCGCTAGCCGTTACTAATTTCGACGGAAATTTCGAAATTTTATACGCGCGTTTATAAGTTTCCACCGTTCCATCGTAAAGTCGGATATTTAGATACACGATGCACTTGAATACAGGAGTATTCGTTACGGGCCTATAAAGGAAATAAGTTACGCCGGGACTGGTGCATTTCTTTATGTGCACATAAATAAAACTAATTAACAGCCGTACTATTTACACAATTCAGTTCTGAAATACAACTGAATTGTTCTAACAGTGAAATTCTTCGAAGCCTGAGTAAAAATAGATCCAGGTGGAATAGCTTGAACAATTGCAGTAGAATATTTACTGTTACTCGTAGACGAGGAAACGAACCACTTCAATTTGACACGGCTGCAGCTTTTACGATAAGAGCCTGGAAAACTGATTACTGAAAATGTAAAGTTTTAAGAATGAACGCGGGCAAAGATGCGTCGCAAGGCGGTAGTCGTACGAAAGTCTACTTGTTATTACCCATTTTAGTACCCATCCCCCTGACAAACAAGGAACACGCGTCGTAAACTCGAGAGAGTTCCCGGTAACTTTCTCCGTGATCAACTAAGACTCGGCCATAACATGCGTTCTATCACATTGTGATAAATTTCGGAAAACGGGTTTATGCGGCTTATCCTCATCTTCCGCTGTAACTTTGCATTTTCTGGTTAAGTATATTGAAGTTAAGGCTATTCTCAAATGTTAAGACAAGAGAAACATAAACACAGTATGGTTAAAAAAGAACAGATGTGAACTTTTCTTTCGTTACGTGCATTGTTAAAAGAGTTTTATAGACATTTTTAAACAAATTTTTATGGATTTCCGGAATGATTCGGAATTTTATTATAGAATTTTTATGGTAGCTTCATTGTATGTCAACATTGAAATTTATTGGAATAACTGCAGTAATCAATAAATTATGTGTCATCAACATGTATTATTTGTTCCTGAAATTATGACCATAATTCAACCATAGGAACACTATGGAATACAATAAAATAAGCAATTATACGGACATCCATCAATTTAGTAATAATTTTATGACAAAGGAAATAAATTCCCATTCGGTCCCAATTTCTCTACATTAATTCATAATTATTCAATAAAGTAGTATAGCCGTTATATAACCTTAATGAAATATTAATAAATTCCGTGAAATATATATATGCATTAAGTCCATGCTGATTTTTATTTTCGCTATCAGTGGTGAGTATCACTGAACATGACCATTATTGTCGTTGTATCTTGATCTCCTGTATTACTTTCCAGGACATCTTTATGAATATACATTTTTTTAAAAAGTTTTTATTTTTATTTCTTTATATTTTCTTAAAGTATCTTTATAAATTTCATAGTATAAAGTGACACACTTATGAATTTCTCTCTTGAAGTTTTATATATTTTCATTATGAATTTTCTAACTATATTACAGTAAAACAAGTATACAATATTTTTATGTATGCAAATTTAACATCAATATGAGAAATGTATTGAAATATAAAATATAATTCAATTTAGTAGTGCCTTTAGTGAAATGTTAACATGTTGAAAATATCAGTACAGAAAGTAAACGTGCGTAAAAGTAAAGAAAGTGTTATATTGTATGAAAATTTGCAGTCTAGCGATGAAATGTGTACATTTCTATAGAGAATTAAAATTTGGTTAACTTTTAACTATCGAGGTGAAAAAGACTTACACTACAACTATTCTTGGCATGTGAGATCAAAATGCACTTTAAAATGCGAAAAAAGCATTGCTTAAAATAAAATTAAAAGAAGTTTTACTTACAACTTTTTTAATGCATTTTCCTTACTCACCAGATCAAAGAAACGAGCGAACAACATTTATTCCAATCAAACTTCTTCATTAATTTCTTTGGGCTACAGTTCATTGCCACATATTTTTTCCCTCAGCCCAACATCAGTAGTTATAAGTTAGATAATACCATTATTTATGAATTATAATTTGGGTGAATAGATAGCACGTTATCAAAATTAGAATGTTCTAAAACAATTTAAAGTGATGAAAAATAAATATACGAAGGAACATTTGATTTTGAACACATTTGTTTGGTCCCTAGTACCAACATTGGTAGTCAAGGATTAAAATTGGCATGTTCGCGACCACGCGTAACATGTCTGACACAGCGCTTTTTTCAGAGAGCCTAGCGTTACATCTGCGTAATGCGGTTGATTACCGTTGCTACGATGATATTAACATCTATTTGGCGCATGCTATACCCTATTGTCGCTTTAGCTATATTAAAATATCACACATATGACATTTGCATAAAATGTTTTGTTTCGTTTATTTGTTATGTTTTAATTATACGAATAACACTATGTGTTAACACTATGTGTTAACACTAGAACTATCGAGCATTTAATACGATTAGTATGTAATCCATACAAGAGTTTCAACAATAGATTATTTTCAATTTCTTCAGACATTCATTATAGTGTTCAAGTGAAACTATTTATTTTTAGGATCATTCCGAATATTCAATGCTTTTAAGATATCAATAATTGTGAAACACAGAAATCGAAACCTGTCATTTTGACTGGTATGGTAGTTCTAGTGTTAATGTCCTCTAGGATCTACGATTAGTTTACCCTGATTCGTTTAAAGGTCCTCAAAGTTCGAAGCACGTGGTATTGCATATGCGCACTAGTGATAGGAGCACGTGGCCGGCTCGAACCGCGAGTCGGTGGGTTTCGGGTGGTTTCGCGAGCCGACGATCAAAGGACCGGCGGCAGTCGCGCGCCGGCCGCTGCCTCGAGAGGGTGTTTGTGTTTATGTTATCGCGATGAAAATTTGGCCGCCGTAGAGGTTATGTTTACGCGTGTCGCGGGAACCGGACCGAACACGCATGTCTTTCCGTGTTTATCTTTTTCTCAAAAATCGGATTCGTCGCCTCGCGTACATCGATAACTAACCTGTCGGTCCTTTTCCATTATTCGTTTACCGTTCGAGAAACAACCTCACGACGTGTGACGATCGCTGGATACCACTGTAAGTACAAGCCTCAATCCAGTCACTGTCTTCTTTAATAAAACAATTTATGAATTTCTTTAATACAATCACTTTTTATGACTTGGAGCTGACGTTGTTAAAAACGTGCTTTTACCGAAACCCAAACATGGCGACCGACATTTCCATTTATACAATCATATACGCTACTATTTTGAACGAATTTTGTCTTATACATTCAATAAAATATTGGTACAATTATAAACAGGCAAGTTGAAATTGAACATGTTATTCGTGCACATATTTTATGAGTTTCTAATCTTGGCACAACTATTCGAGTATTACACTCAAGGTAGCAGATTCGTCATGGACGTTAATTAGTTTACTGTCAAATCACTTTGCAATGTTTTTATACCTTCGTTGTATATATTTTACTCCAGTACAATTTTCTTGAACCATTTCGCACAATATTATTTTACGATTCAAAATCGTATATTTTGACCGCTATTCCTTTCAACTCCAAGCCACTCAAAGCTTTTGTAAATCCAAATAAACTCCAAAGAAAATGATCAGTATCACACGTGCTTTTATCGTAAGGCGCATCGAACCAATCTCGCCTCGCGCACAATACGCGCATCTTAAGTGTAGTTTAGGTCATGCATTGCACACGTGAGGGTGCACCTTAATCTCGAGCCATTTTAATCTGCGAATACCCTATTTCCTATTGAACTCTCAGTAATCCTTTGTTTCTCGAAACATTGTAATTTCGTTTCGAAATATCGAAGCTGGTGTCGTCGAAGAAAAGAAGCGACAAATGTGACGTTGATTTATAAAACGCGATACGATCTATTGCGTATCACCGGAAATCGACGTCCGTCGTGGTTTATCTCGCAATAAATGTAATCGAAGGAGAACAACGCGATGCGTTCTGCCGCAGTATATTTTTCCATCCTTCGAAAATGGCTTCACAATATTTTTTCCGCGGAACTTTGCTTCTGATTCGAAGCAGCTTCATTTCCGTGCAGTTCCGCCGCGGAGCGAGATTCGAAAGGCCGTATATAACGCGCGCGAATTCTGGCCAGAACAATGGCGCGAGTTTTAATATTGTTCGACCGCTCATAACCGCCGCTGACCGTGGATGAATTACGGCGGCGGACGTGTTTGAATACCCGACCGTTGATAACAATTTTGCAATCGGCCGTATCCGGCCCTTTTCCATCGTGCAATCGTTACGAGCGAATAAATTATGCGATACAAATGATGGCCCGGAATGCACCGGACCGTAATTACTCGATGCGATTTGTCGAGAATTCGATGGGCGATGATTTGAGCGCGGATCAGCCAGAAACCGAGCAGCCGATTTTTATTACGAAATACACTGACCGCGTGGACTGGTTGTCTGATGATAATTCCCAGGATCTACTGTTGGAATGTATTGTTTAACCGCTGGACTTGAATTGTTACTGTACACGGGATAACAATTTCGAATATAAACGGTTTAACATTTCGGTGTAACTGTTTAACATTTCTGTCTAGAAATTCTGCTTTCACAAAGTTATGTTGCGTTACTGATTTTCGATTAGTTATCGGTGATAGTGCGTTATGCTGTTAATTGCGGTGGGATGTTACATAGTAGGTGATTAATGTGTGATGCGTTATGTTCGCTTTGTAGAGGAAAATTTTGTTCTTAGCACGAGAGAATATACATATATAATTCTGATGAAATACCTAGTTAATTTATATTACAAAAATGGGGACAATCAGTATATTTTTCTCAAATGATGTTTATAAATGACGGAATAATTTTTATAGTTCTTAAGTTTTCAATTTTTGCGTTTTATATCGTATTTTTCATCGGATAAACAAAATTCAGAGATATCATTCCGAAGAGAATATGACTAATTTGATTTAGAAGTTTCTAAATATTACAAGTATATATTTGTAATAATTAAAGAATATTTTCTAATGTATTTCAATGTTCACGAATGTTCCGGCGTATTTATCCACAATTAAGCTTCAGAGGGTTAACATGATGCGCACATTCCTTTGGTTTCTACAATGCAAATGCCCTATAAAATTGAGTTCGTTTCTTTTGATTAGTTGGTTGCTATCACGGATCCAGTCCGATTGTAATTACGATTGGTTTTGACGCCCTTAATCGTGCCGGAAATGGGAAGAGCAGTGTGCAATCACTGTCAGTCGTCCGATCCAACGCCATGACACGGACATTTATAAACTGTTTCGTAATCGAGAGATTAAAGTGCGTCGAGGGCAGGTGGAGGCAGGCTGTTTTACCCGCTGCTTCCCTTGCAGAACTGCCTGAGTTTAATTCGATCTGGTGTTCCGGCTCCGAATGATACGCGCGACGTCAAATTTCGAACGAGGACGACAGGCGGAGAGAAAACACTCAGCCTCTTTATTAAATTTCCGTCGAGACAAACCAGCACGAATCGTTTCCAGCTTCTCCGCTTGAGCTGCATTTATTGTGGAATATTTTCATCCGATGCTGGGAAACACGGAAGCTGGGCTGTAAAGCTCCCGCGAATATCGAAGTCTTTCTAAGTTCTTGAAGTATACCGACGTATCGTTTGAACGCGTTACGAATATACGGGGTGTCATGTAACCGGTAGTACAACCGCATAGGGGCTGATCCTATATCAAAAAATAATCCTCATATGAGGATTCTTTGTTTTCGAGGAAATCGACTTTGAATATTTGCCGGGTACTTGACCATGTCTCGTTATTGGATCTCGTAAAGATTCTTGACGTCACGGAAATGTTTACTGTAGCTGAGAATTATAAATACGCAATGAAATAATATGTTACAATGACCATAGGCTTTATTGTTACAGAAATTGTTGAAAATGTTGTCCATTCTGTCGAATACATAATTTTGCTCTTCCAATTAAGTTTGTAGGAACGCTTTTTAACGCGTTCTATTGTTTACTGTATGAAATGCTACAATAAGTAGGGCGTGCACCGATTCTCTTTGTCCCTATGTACGTTCAGCTTGTGGGTAGTCGGCCAAGGCTTGAAAGTATTACTGTAGGATAATAAGGATAGTAGGGCAGTAAGTAAAATAAACATTTTCGTGACACTGGAAATGTTTGTCAACATAAACTTCAATCGTGACAATTGTCTACAGTCAGATCCGATAATGAGACACAGTCAAGTGCACACATATATTTAAATATACGGAAAATATTTAAAGTCGATTTTTTCAAAAACAGAGCCTCATATGCAACAATTTTATTCTACATTTTCAACTTATTTTTTCACGTAGAATCACGCCCTATCCAGTTGTACCATTAGTTACATGACACCCTGTATTAAAAAAAGGTAATAACATAGATGTCAAAGTAATTTAACGTTCACGATGACACGTACACAACAATCTCTCTTTTCTTATTTCGGGATATGACGAACGATTTTGTAAATTCTTGAACGGCACGTGACCAGATAGGCCGGGCGATAAAAAAAGGGACAATGCTCGCAATCGATGAAGCTATTGTAACAGCTGACGTAACCATCTACCGACCAGCCTTTTGCGGAACCGCCCGCATAAGCGAAAACCAGCTCCCGTCGGCGGCCATGCGAAATTTTGCAAAATTCTGCCCCTTTGAGCCTCGCCGCTGATCACCGCTTGTTCCACCTTATCGCGTACTAATACATCCCGACGATCATCGATTGCGATCACGGATTACGGAGGAATTCGCGGCGTGCCGGTTCCAATTGAACAATTGTAAAACTTCGATCAGAGTTTCGCACCCAGTGGATGTTAATCGGAGACTATAATTATTTTTGGATGTTAACCAGTTAACTGTGGAATTTAATTTAAAAACTCTCTCATTGCGTGTGCAATAAAGTATATATTCGTCGAACACAATGAAAATGTATACCTATAATACATTCTGACGAAAAACTAAAGCGAAACGAAAATGAATTACATGTGTATCTGAAAAAATAACTAATTTACCGTTGAAAATATTAATATCATTTCGAGTTTTAAGATGATGTGTATACTCGTTAAACGTAGTTAACTGGTTAACGAACATTGGTGCAGAACTGTGAGTTTAGTGCGCTGGTTCGTTGATAAGAGTTACGTGTTTCTTTCGGGAGGCGAAGAAAGGGAAATAAGGAACTGCCGATCCGACGGCTTCTCTATCTCTTTATCCGAGGCTTTCTAGATCATCTCGCGGAGATGCTTCGAACAATCATAAATCACAAAAGAATGGCCGGCTGACAAAGGTGTTGAGCAAAGGGACGGGGGAAACGAGGGTGTAGATAGATAAAAGGGGAAAGAAAGGGAAAGATGTTCAAAAGAGGGGGTGGAGGAAGGGGCGAGCGCCGCTTCCGGCTCTTCCCTTGCTCCAACTTCTTCCATCGTTCGTATCAGTGTCGGCTTTCTTTCTATCTCGGTACGATTAAGATGTCCCCACAGTCGCCGCGAGTTATTGTCGAATAAAATGCCGCGATTAGGCCAGATTGCGAGGAATGGAGTGGAAGTTCGCGGCATTTTCGTTTCACGATTCCCCTTCCCGTGAAAGAGATTCAGTAATCTCCGTTGAAAGAGATGGGACATTATCTTCTGTTAATATTTTAACATTCTATACTAATTTAACGTTTTTGATTAATTCTAGAGACTGGAAGATTGGAAAATGTATCGATAATGCATATATATTTAAAAACAAGTTTCTTTATTTATTCATCATTTCTTCGACGGAAATTGAAATATGCTGCGGAATTTTAAAAGAATACAACTTTTGTATTATTTTAATGAATTTAGTTAAAGCAACTTGCATAATTTACGGTTTTTATTAAGAAATAGGGTCACAGGTTTCTAAGTGATATACCATTGTTAGTCCTCATTGATATTAGAGCATAATGCCCATTTTACCAGTTACCTTACAGACAAATGACGAATCAAATATTTATCCTATTTACAAGCGTTACTTTACATTTATAAGTGCTATATTATCTCGAGCACTTTATTGTCCTCGAGATTAGCCATCTTGTGCTAACTTAATCCTTATCAATACAAT